TCCTTCATCTGAGAATCTCTTTATTTCCCATTAATTCTCTCTTTTTTTTAAAGATTTTATTTATTTATTTGACAGAGAGACACAGCGAGAGAGGGAACACAAGCAGGGGGAGTGGGAGAGGGAGAAGCAGGCTTCCCGCGGAGCAGGGATCCCGATGCAGGTCTCGATCCCAGGACCCTGGGATCATGACCTGAGCCAAAGGCAGACACTTAATGACTGAGCCACCCAGGCACCCCAATTTCCCATTCATTCTTAAGGGATATTTTCACTAGATACAGTTGATAATTCATTTCTTTGAGCACATGAAAAGTGTCATGTCACTTCCAATTTCAGATGAGAAATCTTCTGTCATTCAAATTGGTATGTCTATAGGTAATGGGTTATTTTTCTGTTGGCTGCTTTCAAGATTTTTTCTTTTTCTTTAGATTTTTAATCTTCTTGGTATATAGGGCCTTTTTTTGGATTTTTAACTCATGATGTGTCTTGTTATTGATTGCTTGAATTTATCATGTTTGGGGTTTGCTCAAGTTCTTGAATTTGTAGGTTTGTGACTTTCACCAAATTTGAAAAGTTTTCAGCCACCATTATTTCTTTAAAGATTTTTTTTCAGCTTCACACTCTTTCTGGGACTTTGAGGATATGAATATTATGTTTTGTTATTGATACATAGATCTCTGAGTCTCTGTTCATTTTTTTTTTTAGTCAATTTTTTTCTGTTTTTCAGAAAGGGTAATTGTATTGTTCTATCTTTTAGTTCATTGATTCTCTCCCTTATCACTTTTATTGCACTATTGAGCCCATCTAGTGAGATTTTTTTTAATTGGAGCTTTTAAGTCCTACAATTTCCATTTGGTTCTTCTCTATATTCTCTATTTTTTGGTAGATTAAATAATTTTTTTGCTTCAAGAGTATCTGTAATTGCTCATTAAAGCATTTTTGTTATGCCTGCTTTAAAATCTTTATTGAATAATTCCAGTGTTTGTGTCATCTCTATATTGACACCTGTTGATTGTCTTTTCTTTTTTTTTTAATATTTATGTATTTATTTGAGAGAGACAGAGAGTGCAGGGAGGGGCAGAGGGAGAGAGAATCCTCAAGCAAACTCCCTGCTGAGCATGGAGCCTGATGCGGGGTTCAATCCCAGGACACTGAGATCATGACCTGAGCTGAAATCAAGAGCCAGCCGCTTAACTGACCGAGACACACAGGCGCCCTGTTGATTGTCTTTTCTCATTCAAGTTGTAATTTTCTCTGTTCTTGGTATGATGAGTGATTTTCCATTGTATTGTGGACATTTTGTATAGTATGTTAGGACACTCTAGATCTTGTTTAAATTTTCTATTTTAAATCATACTGTTTAGGTTTATCACATAAATTCTGGCCCACTTTTGTGGGCTATGGTTCCAATAACAACTTAGTTTTCAGAGCCTTGACTGTTCTATTCTGGTCTGCTTTGTTTGCCTGATGTTACTGGTATTCTTCCTTGCTCCCTGTTGGTACTGCTTGCAAAGACAGAAGGTACTTTTTCAGACTGCCCAGTGACCCTGGGTCAGGGGTGGGAGATGTCAAGCCAACAGGGCAGCGACCACTTTGTTGGGCCTGCTCACCAGCAGCCCTGTGCCGGGGGCTAGAAGAGGGGACTTCTGCCCGCACCAAGCCACCTTCTGCCCCTGGGCGAAGGGCTGGGAGAGTGTAGACCTGGAGACCCTAGAATTTGTATACAGACTGTTTTTCTTCACTGAGATCTTTTATGGAATTGAAATTTTATTTCCCTCTGGAGCCACATTTTCACTGTAAGTCAGACAATAGAGCTGTCATATTTCTGAAAACTGCTTTCCTAAAATCTTCACCTGGACTCACCAGAGTTTACTCCAGGGATGCTCATTCTAGTTTACTGGAAGTGTCATTCATTCTCTCATCTCAGAAACTCTTCCTCATTGGTGAAATCCACATTGAGGTTGATGTTCCTTTGCAGTTTTTCTACCCTCTTAGAAATCAGCATAGAGGGTAAAGAATTTACCAGACTTTCTGTTTTGTAAGCAAGTTAGTTAAATGCCCACAGATTCAAAGTTCCCAGTTTCTACTTTGCCTCTGTTACATAAAAGCTCTACTTAAAAGAGCATTCTGGGCCTGAGTGGACACCCCCGAACTATTCCCATCTATACTACCATGTTTGTTTTTCCTCTCACTATCTTCGCTCAAATGCCTTCCATTTTTCCTATCATCCGGTTTGAAAATATCTATATTTTCCATGCTGGCCCTATAACATCTGTGCCTCTGAACACACTATCTTTCTATTCCCATCATTTCCTTAAGTTTAGTGCTGTCTATGAGATCGTATTCATCGTCCACCATCTTCTGTTAAATATGAGGCTTCCCTTGTACGTTACCCATCCTTGCCATTATCATATGCTTGCCTGAGGTCTGAAGTTGCATTTCCAATCCTTTTCCAATACTTCTGAACTGACACTGTTACTCTGCACGTGTTCAGGACCCAAACCTCTGCAGCAACTCATCCATCCATTCATTCATCATCTTTCCAGCTCATGTTGTGTGGTTGATACTGTGTTGGTGCTGGACGGCACCCCTAGATGCTTCTGGAACATAGGGGGGGCAGGGAGGAGGGAAACTGAGACATAAACAGACACAGTTCAGGATGATGGATGCCATATCAGGTGGAAAAAGAGCGATGTGGGGAAGCAGAGCAGGGTTCCACCTAACCCAGGGGAGTCAGAGAATGTATCTTGGAACAGGAGAAGCTCCACTGTGCTCCCAAAGGATGAGAAGGAATTAGTTGCGTAGGGGGGAGGAAGCAGGGTTGTATTTTCAGAGAAATACATGACCTGGAGTGAGAAGGGTGTAATGATGAGTGGTCTGGCCTGCATGTGTCTCAGGGTCCACGTGGGGTGTGGTGTGAAGGTGCAACCACAGGAGAGCTGGTGGGCAGAGGTCTTCCTGTTTGTCCCAAGGACCGTGAACAGCCACTGGAGCACTGAAGGCAGGGAACTGACTTGGCCAGGTTGTGTGTTTCCTGTTTGTCCCAAGGACCGTGAACAGCCACTGGAGCACTGAAGGCAGGGAACTGACTTGGCCAGGTTGTGTGTTAGAGAGTTCACTCGGACTGCTGTGTGGGGCCCCAATTTGGGAGATGCAGTGCAGGGGAGACTGTGCTAGACTAAGCATACCCAAGTGCCACTAACTAAAATACCACCCAACCAAGAAATCATTCCTCTTGCTGCTGCTGAAGCCGTCTTGAGACCACCATGCTTTAGACAATGCTAAAGCAGGGGTTTCTGTTCTGCAGGTGGCTGGAAGCAATATCAGCAGAATAATGAAGGTTCCACAAGTGATAGAAAACAGACTCAAGGTTCATACACATCTATGATGACTCAACTGAAAACCCACCATCACCTACCACAAAGCAAAAAAAATGTGTTCACGAGCCCCCACTCCCTCCCCTGGGATGCCCACCTATGATCCCTTTGCCCCTCACATCTGCCCTTGGGGCGCATTTCAGCCTCATTTTTCCAAGGGCAACTGTCTGTGTAGGCTAGTGAGGCAAGCTCAGGCCTTGGGGTTAGATGGACCCAGGGGCGTGTGCTTGTTGTGTTGCTCTAACTTCTCTGAACCCCAAGTCTGTATGAGAGGATGATCACACCTACCTTGCAGGATCGCCAAAAGCATTATAGATGATATCAGACAATGCCCAGCACAGAGTAGGTGCTCTGTCAGTATGAGTGGTGGGAAGCACAGGGCCTTCTGCAGGCTGGCTCCCTCCCTTTGGAAGCCCCAAAATGGGGGGACAGCTGGCGTGGGGGAAGACTGGTGTTGGAGCCACGGTGGCCTCTTTTGTAATGCCCCACACTGGAAACAGCTTGCCAACAGGGAAATGTCTGCATGAATTGCGGCTCTTGTCTTTAAGGGATATTAGGCAGCTATTAAAAGAAGAGTTAAGAGGCACCCGGGTGGCTTAGTCGGTTAAGCGTCTGCCTTCAGCTCAGGTTATGATCTCAGGGTCCTGGGATCGAGCCCCATGTCGGGCTCTCTGCTCAGTGGGAGCCTGCTTCTCTCTCTCCCTGCCGCTCCCCCGCTTGTGCTCTCCCTCTCTCTATCAAATAAATAAATAAAATCTTAAAAAACGAAGAGTTAAATCTTTCTCAACAAAACAACAAACAAACAAAAAACTAGAGGAATGTCCATGGGAAATCATTGATTGCAGAAAGCAATGTACTATATTATATATAATATGATATCATTTGCGTAAAATCAAAAGAAAAAAAGCCATGTCTGTCTAGCAGTGTCCGGGTTTATCAGTTTCCATGAGCAAGCAGGCTAGGAGGAAAGCCACACCCCAGGATGCCCGCAAAGCTTATGTCAGCAGGTTAGGACGCCAGGGAACTGAGGTCCCCTGAAGTCCCTGATTACAAGATTATTAACCCTTGTAATGCTCTCTATGTTGTTTGATAAATTATATTAAGCATGTTTTATTTGTGTAATTAAATAATCTAAAGAAAAAAGAAAACAAAAGCCCAAGTCTGAGTTCCAATCTGCGTCTCATCACCTAATAGGTATTTCAACTTCTCCAAACCTCACTCAGAGTTGATAAAGTGGCAACAATCATGCTCCTCCCAAAGTTTTGAAACTTAAGTATGTTAATTCATTAATTCACTTGATAAACATCTCTTGAGAGCCCTCTATCACCAGGCACTGTGCTGGGGCTTCGGGCTGCACCTGGTTTAAGGACTGCACTCTGTCACCTGATGATGTGGGGCCCGGGAGTTTGCCCAGCCACACCAATAAGTGACCGACAATGGCGCTTCTTGGCTTGTGGGAGAAGGGGGGTCAAGGGGAGGATTTGGGGGTAGCGGGACTTTGTGTCTTTACCCTTGGCCTTCCCGGGGGAGCCGTCTGCTCACACAGAGCAGGGATTCCGACACAGGTTGGGGCCCCCTGGTCTCTGCCTCCTACAGCAGCCACCTCACACCGAGGTTGTGTTTCAGATCCAAACCCCAAGAAGAGAAAGGGGGTGAACTGCTTCATGGTCATGGTGGCCATCTACCTGATTCTGCTCACCGCAGGTGCTGGGTTGCTGGTGGTGAAAGGTAAAGAGGTCTGGTCCCGTCTGGTGCCTCCTGGGGTGACACAGGGTTCAGGTTGAGTGGAAAGCCCTGGGGTCACTGCTGCCCACCTGCTGAGAAGGGGTTCTTAGTCCCTGGGTAGCCAGGTAGCCACATTGATGGGGCTCGGTGGGGGGGAAGTGGACAGGGGAATGTGTGTGTGTGTGTGTGTGTGTGTGTGTGTGTGACACAGAGAGAGAGAGACATAGAGACAGATCGAGAGAGAGATAGAGAGAGAAAGCACATTCGAGCCTGTGTGCATGAGAGCAGTGAACAATGCAATAATTTCACATGGGTCTGCTGTGTGCGTCTTCCATCAAGTCTCCCCAGTGTCTGAGCGGGAAGGGGCTTTATTGATCAGAGAGTTCATGTTAACATGATTTTACTTACAAAGTGTTCCTGGTCCAAATGTCAAGGTCATGAAGCAATTCCATCTGCAGACACTGAACTCACCCAAGAACATCGTGTGCCCAGCTGTCATAAACATATGTCACACGTATATTCAGGCCACATGTGATTACATCAGACCAACATATTGGTCATCATATGTTCATGCCCAGAGCATGCAGGAAGGCGAAGTTTGATCATGATGCTGTGAGTGCCTCCCTAGGCCATGCGGGAATAGTCTATGAACATGTAATGTCATGCTTAAGTGTGAAGTGCCCATGTGCAGGATATAGAAAGAGCTCTGTGCTCACACTAGGTCCTCATGGCACATGAAATGTGTGTTCAGTATCCAGGACCCACAGAAGTTATGTGCATACGACACAAGAACGTCAGGGATGTGCTCAAATGCCTGGGATTTTAATGAAGTCCCTAAAAGAAGGCTGTGGGGTGGGGGTGGGGTGTCCAGTTCTGAATCTGCAGGAACGGCTCTGGGCCCTGGAGACTCACTTCACCAATGGAACACTGGCCGCCGAGGATGGCCTGTCCTTCTCTTTGCTCCAGTCAATGCCCTTCCCACACCTCCCTGGGGGCACATTGGGGCTGCAGGTCCTGCAGGCCCAGATCACCCAGGTCCGCACCAGGCAGGAGCATCTGCTACGGAAGGTGGACAACTTCACTCGGAGCCCAGGTTTGGCCCCCTTCCCTCTGCACCAGGACTCCTCAGGGGATAGAAAGGAGGGCTGCTGGTTCATGGGAAAGGGGATCCTTGGACTGGAATCCAAACCCTCTTCCATAGTGAGGAGAACATTCCAGAACCTTGGGGCCCAAGGAAATGGGTGAGAGCCATATGGAGTAAGCATGAGATGGCTCTATAATGTTTGGGAGGATGGGTAAAACAGAGCTTGGAGCAAGTCCCAGGACCACTCCCATGTAGCCAACTAATACTGGCCCATGGCTGGAGAGAGAGTAACGGCCGGCACCAAGAGGTCTGGGCCATGTGGGGACCTCGGAGGGACAGAGCAGCGGGCTTGCTGGGGAAGTGTGATGGCTTGGAAGATAGGGCCCAGGGCAGAAGAAAATGGAGCCCAAAGTGGAGATGCCAGGGGTCCCCCTCCCCTCGGTTTTCTCGGGGCCTGAGACTGGGCCACGTGAGGTGGTCCAACCACTACACCCACCACTCTCTTAGGCTGTGCCGGAACAGGAGAGCTGATTTGGGCAAAAGCAGCTGCTAGGTGTGTCCTCACTATTGCATGGCGCTCCAGCCCTGTGTCTGGGGAGAGCTGGGGCTTAAGGGGTGATCCCATGACCGCCGTTTTGTGCCCATGGGAGCATTTGCTGAATGGGCACAGGGTCCAGGTGGGAGAATCCCCCAGAGGCTGCGGTCTTCCCAGTGAGCACAAATGAAGGCTGAGCCAGGATGCGGGGACAGGAGACAGCTGTGGCAGATGGGCAGAGTCCAGGCTCAGATGTTCAGATGCTCAGACACAAGGACCATCACTCCCTTCCTAAAGATATGGTGGAGCTGGTTGTGATCAGTACAAGGGGCCCTGCCATTAACCTGAGGCTCTTCCTGAACAGGTTTGGCTCCCAAGTCTTCTGACGATATAGAGAGACTCCAGGGGTCTCAACCTTCTTTCCCCACTTCTGCAGCTCCCAGGGATCTACAGCTCCCCGGTGCAGACCATTAGCTGCAACAAAACATCTGGCTTTTTCTAAAAGCTCATTCCTGGAAAATACCCAGGTGTTTGGCTCCTGTTGTCCAAATCCCCCATCTGCCTGAAGCCCTTGCTCCTCAGCCTGGAGGGCAGAGGCTCCTGACTTAGAGCTGGGTGCCCTGGGTGCATGCCCTCACAGCCCAGCCTACAACCCTCTCTCCTCCCCTTGCAGAGCTGTTCCGGGTCAAAGGGGAACGAGGCGCTCCAGGTACGTTCATTTCCCCTCCTGCTCGCCAAGGCCTTTCCCCACGGGCTCCTGGGCTGATGCCTTTCTGGACCCTGACCCCAGCTTACCTTCCATGGGCCCCCACAGCTCCCCACAAACTCACTGGTCCTCCGTTGGGTCAGCTCTCTCTTCCCTGACCTCGCCTGAAGTGGGAAATGACTTCCCCATCCACCCCACCCCGCCAAATCTAAGCTGCTTTCCACGGCCAGCCCAAGTGCATCGCCCTCAGGTGCCCTCTCCCCTGGTACCCCAGCTGCAAGTGCAGGATCCCCCTCTGTCTCCCGTAAGCACTGTTTCCAGATGCCTGTTACCCAACACCGAGCTTGTCCCCCCATCTGACTACGATCATTTCCAGGGGTGGACGGCTTACGTCTCCTAGAGCACATAACAGGAGGGGCAGCCTCTGGGACCTGAGTTCTAATCCTAGCTCTGCCGCTTCCTGGCTGTGTGACTTTGGGCCAGTGACGTCACTTTTCTGGAACCTCAGCCACTCAGCTGTGTAAAAACTAACAGAGATCATTTTACTCACCTCCCGGGGTTGCTATAAGACGCAAGTGAAGCAATGTGCAAAAAAATGTCCAATAGCAAGTGCTTTCTGAGGAAAACACATGTGCCTTCGTTGCTTTCTCTTTCTACCTGAACACACGCAGTGTTAGCTGCACACATGTGCACACATGTACACACACTTCACCCCACCCCTATTCCATTTTATCACCGGAGCCGTTGGAATGCCACCTTGAAAATCATTCTACATGGCGTTCTTGGGACAGAACCCTTTGGCCTCATAATTTTTTAAGTGTGGCCCAGACCACGCTGCTGGTCATCAAGAGTTTCGAGGCAGCCTTGCATGGTGACACGAGAATCTGTTTGCATCCCCAGCACTCCTGGGGACAGACCCTGGCTCTCTCTGGAGCCAGGTGGCTTTGAGCAAGTCACTTAACACTTCTGAGCTCAGTGTCCTCCCCTGTGAGATGGGGATAAGGACAGGACCTCCTGGGATTGGTGTGGGGATAAAACGATGAATGTAAAAATGTGTAGTCCGGTGCCCGGCTCAGAATATGTATTTGCTTTGTTATTTTGTCGGGAAGATTAAAGGAGCTAATGCTTGGGCAGCCCCAGCGGGATGGATGTTGACTCCTCCCCTCTAAGGAGATGCTGACTCTAAGGAGTCAGGGCTTACACCTCTTCAGATTCCTGCGTTGAAAATCTAACCCCCAAGGGGATTGTATTAGGAGGTGGGGTCTTTGGGAGGTGATTTGGCCATGAGAGCAGGGCCCTCTTGAATGGGATTAGTGCCCTTATAAAAGAAACTCCAATGAGCTCCCTCACCCCCCTTCCACCGCGTGAGGACACGGCAAGAAGTTCAGAAGAACCTGACCACACTAGCAGTCGAATCTTGGACATCCAGCCTCCAGAACTGTGAGAAATGCATTTCTGTTGTTTATAAGCCACCTGCTCTGCAGTGTTCTGCCCTGTCCTGCCCTCCTGGCGTGTTGGGAGTCTTGAGTCTGCAAAGCAGCCCGTGGGAAGGGACAGAACTATATGTGAGTGACAGCAAAAATAGGTGCCACGTGTCCAGAGCTGGCCACCAGGACTGTCCTGTGGAGCTGGTATATTAAGTCCGTTTTACTGATGAGGAAACTGAAGCTCAAAAGGAAGAAGTAACTTGCACCAGGTCACCCAGGGGAAGGGGTGGTGCTGCTCCTCGAACCCGGGTCCGTCTGACGCACCTCCCTCAGAACACGTCACCTGCATCACTGCGGTTCACCTGTTACGCCATGAGCTTCTTGGAGGAAGGAGCTCTGCCTTCTCTTTCTTTCCTTCCTTCCACATGGTTTGGCTCATTCTTGGGGCTCAGTGGCAGTGTGTTGAATAAATAACAGTGTGATAAGCAGCCTTGTCACCCCACCTTGTGGGTTGGCTGCTGGGTGTCTCTGTTCCTCAGCTTTAGGTCTTCCAGGTCAAAGAGGACCCAGGGCAGGCCGGGCATCGCATCCCAGGTCTGCCAAGGCCACCGGCTGAGAAAGGGGGCCAAGGGGACCGAGGTGTGCCGTGGAGCCATGAACACTGGCCCCTGTCTACCAGCCCCGTAATTGTTTTTGCCCTCGTTGTGCAGGCTTCATTCTGAATCCCTTTTCCTTTCCATGCCCCCCAGGACTCCAAGGCCCGCCTGGAATCAAGGGAGACGCAGGTGGGCAGGGGCCGGGTGTGTGCACAGGGAGAGGGTCCGGAAGCAGGGGCCTCAGCAATTTTATACCCTATGCCTAAGGGACTCACCTTTTCTTTCCTTTCTCTCTCTCTCTCTCTCTTCTTCTTGTTCTGCAGAGTGAAATGTTGTCACTGTTAGTGTGTGTGTGTGGGGGGGGGATGACACAGAGAGAGGCCCCTCCCTTCATGCTGGGCATCCTGTCCTTCTGTGGGGCTCTAGAACATCAGCTGACTGAGGAGCTGAGACTAGTTCTTTCCTTCCTCTCAGGCCTCCAAGGACCCAACGGTGCTCCAGGGAAACAGGGAGCCCCTGGTAACGTGTGTCTCCTCTGCTTGGGCTCAGCGGTGCCTTGGCCGAGGTGCTGAGCCAGTCGCCCCGCTACCCCCTCCCCACAGCCCCACCCGCAGCCCCAGAGGGTTGGTGCCTTCCCCCAGTCCTCTGCCCTGGAGTCTTACTGTGCCTCTTCGAGACACCCCTAGATGACCTCACCTTCCCCAGACTTCCTCTGGAGGCCCCTTTCTCTTCTCCCCAAATGCCCCCTGCGCCATTGCCTAGGAGCCCATCCCAGGAGGATGGCAGGAGCCCACCTCGTTGGCCATTCTCTACCCAGGCACCCCAGGACAGCAGGGAGAGAAGGGGAGCAAAGGCGATGGGGGTCTCGTTGGCCCGAAAGGGGAACCTGGAGCTAAGGGCAACAAAGGAGACCTGGGTCTCCCAGGTAAGGGCCCTATGGGGGTGTCAGTGCTCGTGGGGGGGCCTGCAGGCTGGGTCCTGTCCCTGTGGAAGCGTGTCTGTTCTGTCCCACGGAGGACAAAGTGGACAAAGCTGGGCTCTGCCTACCAGCCTCCCGGGAACACACACGAGGTCTTTTCTGTCCAGGTGAGTAGAAACCAGGAACGCGAAAGCTGAGAGCAGTGTGTGTTGGGGGCGGGGACAAAATCTCATGCCAGGCACGACCTGTGACAAGTGGGGACACAGGCCATGCTAGGAGCTCGGAGGAGAGGAAGGCGAGGGACAGCGGTGGGACCTGAGGTGGGCACAGGGGAGGAGGGGAGACTGGCTGGCAGGGAGGGAAAAGGGGCTCATCCCAGAAGCAGGTGCTACCTCAGAACTATTTGGGGCACTTGTTCAAAGTCCAAGAGTCTGTGTTTCAAAGGCCTGGATGATTTGATGCTGACAGTCTAGACGCTCTGAGAAGCACAGCCCCGGGGGCTCTGGCCATGACTGAGCACCTTCATGCCCCTTGTCCTTGGCCTCTTGAGGCCCCCTTGGGGGGTTCTGGGGCATAGGAGGGAGAGTGAGGCCTGTGCAGCTAGTGGGCTTGTTTTGTTTTGTTTGAAGATTTATTTATTTTAGAGAGAGAGAGAGCGTGCATGCACGTGGGTGGGGGAGGGAAGGAGTGAGAGAGACTCAAACAGACTCCCCGCTGAGCACGGAGCCAGATGCTGGATCCCACAACCTGAGATCCGGACCTGAGCTGAAACCAAGAGTTGGACGCTCAACCACATGCGCCACCCAGGCGCCCCAGCTAGTGGGCTTATTTGCCATCCCTGCTCTGCACCTGTTCATTCACTTGCATCTCTAGGCACATTTTTAACCAGTTGAGATTTAGTTTCTTCATTTCAGAAAAGAATGGCGATGAAAATAATAATAATTAAATTATGCATACCTTGTAGGACAGTTACAAGGGCTAGAGATCATGTTTTCAAACTATCCGCCACATGGTTCAACACTAAACTAATGATAGCCATTAGAATTAGCAGTACTAGCGATCCTTTCAGGTAGGAAGGGAAGGACTTCAGTTCTAAGATCAGACACATCTGGGTCCTAATACGGCTCACTAGCTGTGCTACCTGAGGCAAATGACTCGACCTCTCCGACCCTAATTTACTCACCTATAAAAGGGGGATAATAAGAGCAACCTCTAATAGGGATCAGTTACAACAGGAATATAAGACATAAGGTGGTGGCGCTGTACCTGCAAATGGGAATATTTACATTGTAAGAGACTAGGGTGCTTGTCTTCAGGAAGAGGGCACTTACAAGGATGTGTCAGCCTTGCTCAAACATTAGAAAGGCACTTGTGGAAGAGAAAACAGACTCACTCTGGGTGCCCAGCAATAGAAGGAGGAGCGATGATCAAGGGTTTCATGAGAGCCAATTGTGCCGAGGTAAGGGAGGAGGAAGGCATTAAGACTTAGGGCTGCCCAGGGATGAACCGGGCAGGCATGCGCGGGGCTCAGGGGCGGCTGCCACGGGGGCGGGCCAGGGGAGGGGCTGCAGAATTCTTGGCGGGACTGAGCGAAACCTTTGCACCAAGCAGATAGTTAGACAGTTGACCTCTGAGGGTGCTTCCAAAGGCGGCCCTCCACAGTTCTCTCTGCAACAGGAAAGGGGGCCTTAGACTTTCTCAAGGTGGCCCTGCCAGCCCTGGGGAAGGGGGGGGATGACAGCCGGCACTCTGCCCGCGGAGTCTGTGCCCTCCTGTTTCCCATCCCACACTCACCCACCGCCACAAACGCACGGTGACTTTGCGCCAGGGCATGGCGCGCACGCTCAGAGGCGGACTCGGGCCTGGAAACGCTGTGGCCACCGCTCCTCTTCCCAAATGTCCTCTCCCAAGATCACAAGATCTCTTTCACTCCGCTCTGGTGGTACCGAGGTTTGGTGCTCTTTGTCCCAGCGGACGGGTAATTCCCCTGGTACAGATCCAGGGGACACGTCTGTTGGCCTCACTTCACCTGTAGAGGTGATGGGAAGGTTCGGACATGAGGCGCAGCTGGGGTTCCTCCGTGGGTGGGTGCCAGACCCTGGTTGTTTCACCCAGAACGCCCGGCTTCCCAGGGCTGTCCCCTTTGATGGAGACATGGCAGTTATGGCCACACATAGCCACACACAGATTCCGGCCCAGACCACGCTCCAGAATCCTCCTACAGCCAAGCAATTCCTGTAACGTGATGGTTCCGGTCGGCCCAGAACAATCGGGCCCACCAACCAATTCCTCCAGGGAAGTAATTCCTAGTCCCTTCTAACAAATGCCATTTGTCCCTTCTGCCAAAACCGACACACTCAATGACCAAGAACTGCCTTCATTGGGGCTTGCCCCTGAGGCTTTAAGAGATCTCAACTGTAACCAAGTTCTCTCTGGTTATTTTGTTTCCCATCAAGGAATAATCATCCTTCAAGTATCTAAACCAGGAAGAATCTACTTCCTAAGCCTTGCCCCTAACATCACCCCAGCTTAGACCCAGAAAGCTCTGCATGACCCGTGATTCTTTCCCTCTGCTTCAGACCCTTCTGTCTCCTTTCTTGATTCACTGGAGAGAAGGCTGGTATCCCTCTGAGTCCTCCCCTTCTCTATCAAGAAAATAATGGAATGGAGCCTTTTAACCAAATTCCATCACGCTAAGCCTGTCCCAGGGCAGAGGGGGCTGCTCGGGGTGGGGCTTCGACTGGCAGGGCTAGCAGAGGCGTGCAGCTGGGTCCGAAACCAAACCCATGGATTGGGAAGGGGTTGCCAGCCCCCTGCTCTCAGGAGCCTCCCTCGATTGATATGCACCAAGCTGTGGCAGAAAGGAGGAGGGAGCAGTGAAGGACCGAGGTGAGGACAGGCTGGGACGAGCCTCGAATGCAGATGACAAGTGGAAAATTTGAAACCTCGGGCACCCGGAGAGGCTGTGGCTGAAGCACTGGCAGGAATCGGAGCTGCGGCAATGTTCCTCTCCCCACCCGTACCTTTGAGTCTCTATTCTCAGCATCTGGGATCGACTTTCTGGAATATTCAGATTTCGGTTTAGGAGGCTTGAAAAATAATTCCCCAAACGCAGACACGAAAATGAGCCAGGCAGCCCTGGATAAGCTTAGCCAGGGCTGTGGTCCCTCCCAAGGGGACCGGCGTGCTGACCAGGGTCCCGAGAGCCTGGCTTCCCGGGCCTGCCCATCAGCCAAGCCAGGTGACCTTGACCATTTTTCACAAGTTCACATCTTGTCTCTGGGGCAAGGTGGTGTGCTCCTTGAGGGCAGCTATTGATCTTCCACTTCTGGGCTCCAGGTCGGAGGAGCTCAAGGAGTTTGAGTTTGGAATTTGGGTGAGACAAGTGTCAGTGGGATCTGGCAGCTGGGTTTGCCCTTCTCCTATGCCTGACCACGACTCCTTGATTTTTCAGGAAGCAAAGGGGACATGGGCATGAAAGGAGACACAGGGGTCATGGGTCCCCCCGGAGCCCAGGGCAGTAAAGGTGACTCAGGGAAGCCAGGCCCCCCAGGTAAGAGGCTGTCCATTGGCCTGTAAGTATTCCCTTTCCCCCCTGGCAGACTGAGCTATAAGGGAACAAAATCCCTAAAAGTCCTTCTTCATTTCAGGTGTGGCTGGATCTCCTGGAATGAAAGGAGATCAAGGTAAGAACTCTGGGAATCCAGGTATCATTTGAGCTGCCACTGTCCCTGGACAAAGTCAAGTCCAGGGCATGTCTTTTATTTCACTGTAGTGTTACCCCAGAGACCATGGGGTCTCTTAAAACCCAGCCATGCCCGAGAGGAAGGGGCTTGATTGGCATTCCGTCTTAGAGCTTCGCCGCACTCTGCCCTCCAGGGGTGTGGAGCACACGTTCACAACCCAGGGTGCCTGGTGGGTCCCTAAGCCCCAGACACTGCAGAGCCATGGCTGAGATGAACAAATTGCTCAGGCTGTAACCTTTCTCCTGCTGACTGGGCTCGTTCGCGGCTTCTAGAGGGAGATGATTAAAGCTGCCCAGGGAACACATAAGGTGGTAGGAGGTACACGTGTCACTGCTGAGAAGAGAGGTGTGCTGGGGCGGGGGGCAGCCAGGCTCTCTGGCGACCGAAGCCAACCTTGCAGTTGTCACTTGCAGGACAACCTGGAGCGAAGGGTCTTCCCGGCTCTCCGGGCGCGGCGGGATCTGCAGGGGCCAAGGGGGAGCCTGGCCACGCTGGCTCCCCGGGACTAGCAGGTGAGGTCCTCGGTGCTGCGGTGGGCGCGGGGAGTGATGTCTGAAGATCCACAGAGCCCAGCCCTCATACCATCTGGGCATCTGTTGTATAGGACCAGCAGGGAGACCCGGGAGTCCCGGAGCCAACGGCGTGAAAGGAAGCAAGGGGGACCCAGGTAACAGAGGGTGTGGGTAGGGGGTGGGTGGGATGCTGGGTGCCAGGAATGGACAGGGAAGAGGACTGCTTCCCAGTGCTCCCACCAGAAGGAGGCAGAGGGTCTCCTGTGCTCTGGCCCCGGAAACCCCTGGATTAAGGCAGACACTTTCTTTTGCCAGGGCCCTTTGAACTCAAAGCCCTAGGGCTGTCCTCTCTCTGCCCAGGGTCCTTGAAAGGCCCCTATGCCATGACCAAACCTCCACCATTAAAGAGAAGGGAAGGGCAGCTGACCCACATCGTCTCCTGGCCTGCCTTCCAGCCGTGTGCATTCTCTCCAGTTAACCTGCAATGGGACCCCAAGGGTCAGGGCTCTGGATCTGGGCGGGGGGGGGGGGCCAAGAAACCCTCTCTTGTACATTCTTCCAAAGGGGCTCAGGCTGGGAGGAGTGACCCACAGTAACCAAACTCACAGTGACTACTGTATAAACCTTCATGTCAACTTGGTCTACATTATAAACCATTGTGCCAACTTAGTCTAGGTTATAAACCAATGTGGTCTACTTTATAAACCTCTACACCAATTTTGTCTAGTCACTAAGTAAGTCTGAGCAATGGTTTAGAAAGTCTGGGCCACTGTGTTGGGTGCTGGGGCACCGTGATGCCGAATACCTGCTTCCTACCCTCACACCTACAGGTCGGTGCAGGAGACAGGTAGACAGACCGTTGCCAGGAATATTCTGTCGTGGGCTTTTGCATGGAGAAGTGCCGAACGCCCTTTAGAAAGCCAAGTGCAGCCTGGAGGTGTTGTAACAGGGCAAGGTCGAGAGAGCGGGCTATGCAGCTGCCTAGGATGGCATGGACAGTCTGGCACAGCCCCTCGTCTGCCAGAGCAGAAGGTCATGCTGTGTTAGACAGCCTGATGGCCTCACGCGGAGCTGTGTGCAGACTCCCACCAGGGGCAGGTCCTCTCAGGGCTCATCGATCAAGCAGTTGACTGATGGATGGATTGATTCTTTAAACAAATGTGATTTAACTCAGCTAAATGCTTTAGTTTCACCGTGTCCCCTGTCTGGTAGGGGTGGCAAAAGGCAGAGCAGTGTAGGAGCGATGTAAGAGCTTGAGCTGAGTCTTGTGGAGTGAGTGGAGCCTGGCCATGGGGAGGAGGGGAAAGGAAATCTAGAGAGAAGGAATAGAGCAGGCGAAGTCATGGAGGAATGAGGGAGAGCTCTGTAGGCTGCTGTTCCCGGCATCTGGGATTGGGATGTGAGAGAGGGTCAGGAGCTCTGGCCAGAGGGGTGGGTGGGGGCCACCTCCTGGCTGGCCCTGGACTCTGGGCCTTCAACCACTGGGGTTTTCCTGAAGAAAATCGAGAGCTTCGGCACAGGCCGTTCTAATACTCGTTGTCCTTCTAGCCCATCCAGCCTCGGAGCTGATTTCTTTTTCACGGACTGTGTGTCAGCATGGGCTGGGGATCTGCTACCTGATGTCATGTAGATACCACCTGAAGGCACCCAGCAAGGTGTCACGTTCTGGGTGTTGTGGTCAGATGTCCCTGCCTTGTTGGCTGCCTCCTCCTGATCTTAAATATTTTCACCTTCTTTGGTCCCAGAGCTTAGGGGGTCTGACTTTAGGGCCTGAGGCGGCCCTACCCCTGAGTTTTCTGCTTGGCTTCATAGTGATGACAGCTTTCATCCCTCAGTTATAAATAATGAGTCTCTCTCCCCAACCTCCACCGCCCCCCCAATTGCCAGACTAATGGTTCTTAACTAAGCAAGGGTATCAGGGGTAAAACATGATTTTACCCACAAGGGACACTGTGCCCACTCCCCAGGCCCCCAGCCTGTGTCTCCCACTGTCTGAAGGTAGGAGATTTTGCCCTGCACTCCGTATCCTGGGAGGGCTTGCAGAAGAAGAGCAGCTCCTGATAATGAGCATTTCCATGACAAGCCAGTGGGATAAGCACTCTCGTTAGCGCTATTTTACAGTGACTTGCCCACACTTGAGGAGCCAGGAGGAGGCACAGCCAGAACTGGAATACTAGCATGGCCGACCCAAAGCCTGGGGCCTTGTCCATTACACTCTGTCATGCTGTCTTCCTCCCCAGGCAGCCTGAAAGTACCCCCTACCCCATCAGGCATTCTGATGAGTGACACCTTCTCTCTCCATCCCAGGTCAGGAAGGATTAGAGCTGAGGCTACAGCAGGTTCTTCCATTCCGAGAAGGAAACCTGATGTGTTCAGGCCCTGTTATGGCCCACCTCCCTTATAGCACAGAGAACTTTGGCCCACAGCCTGGGGATCGTTTTAACCCCATTATCAAGTTCCCGTACATTTGTTGAGCACCTTTTTGGGCATCTCCATCAATCAGGCCGAGAGGTAAATGCCAACCAGGCAAATTCTAAGCATTAGTCCTTAATTCCGCCTACCCAAGTAAACATGGGGATTACATTTTCAATTTGGAGCATGTGATGATTACAACTTACGTAAAATTGCATAGGTTTCCCACACAAATCCAAATGCTCGTCTCCATCTAGTAGCTAATGGTCCCATCTCAAGAGGGAAGTCCCACAGGTCCATAATCTGGCCGCACATAGGCCGGTCTATATATCATCCCGAAGGCAGAGGTTAAGGAACTCTTGGAGAGGTTAGATTTCTCAAGTGGGAAAAGGAAGGATGGGTGGTGATCATGGAAGATAGCGCACACTTTTCCATGTCAGGACATTGGTATTCCCCCAACTAGAGGTAGTATGGTGTTTGTCCAGTTTTGATTATATCAAGCCAGTTTTTCAAACCAGTTTCCTATTTTGTAAATAAAATCGTTAATCTCTCACAAGAATATCTAGCCTCCCTGGATGAAAACAGAGAAATTATAGTGCCTTGGCTTGACCTAGGTTAACAGCCAGATCCCATTATCATGCATTAATTATTAAAAAAAGAAGTCTGTTTATGATTAACAATGCCTTTGGGCCAGGCACTATGCTTGGGATTTACTCCTATGATCTTAGCTCATCTGCCTGAGCCCCTGAGTTTCATCACCCCTACCTTACAGCAGAGGGAGCAAGCACTCCCCGAGGGTGAACAATCTCCTCAGGGTCTCACAGTTAATATACTCTGAATCTCAATCCCAAAGTCAGATCCCAAAGTTGTGCTTTTCCAGATTGTGTTGCATAAAATAACATAGAGTGTAGGACTCTAGAGAAGTCCGAATCGCCTGCACCTCCCATTCCATAGTAGATGGGTAAATCCTGGCTCAGTCACCAAATCCTCCTGTTGTAAACGGTCATTTACCATACCCCAACCCATTCGGGTGGAATGTTTCCCCGTGTTGACACCTCTTGAGAGAAAGCAGCCATCTCAGATTGAAGATGGTGAAGAGGAAATTTTTTCGGTCTGTCGGGAAGACAAACCGCAACATTATCACGTAGGGCATTATCACTCAGTAGAACTTTCTCCGAAGGTCATTTCCTTTACCATTCACGAAGCAGCATTTTACCACCCCCCAAAACTTAGTTTTTTCTAACCTTTGATCTTTCAAAGGATTTCAAAATTATCTGATTTGGGGGAAAAGATTGCAAAGTACAAAAAAAAACCCCACAAAAATTAATTTTAGCTCTAAATCCCTTAGCCATTTCAAAGTTTGTTGGGCTTTGATTTTCCTCTTGAGACAAAGCCAAAATGCAAATAACCTGAAATCCATTTTCTCATCTGTAATGGAAAATATTTTATTGTGAAGGTAAGCAACAAAGAGTAATTCGTAATACCAGTTAAGCCCTATATTGTGAATATAATTTCTCAGTTCATTCCAGTCCCCATATTGAAGTACTGAGTTAGTCCCAGAATTTATTAAATTTTACCAACTCACATTTCTAACTTGTCGCTTATAAAACCTGTCCTCATTTTCCTCTAAATCTCTCAGGGGTATCTGCAAAAGTCTACACGCATCCCAGTTTTGGTCCCCAACCCGCCATCTTACTTCTGCTACATAGCTCAGTCTGTCAGTTATTAAACTCATCCTCACTCTGTCAGACTGCACTTAGCCTGTATGTCAAGATGCTACTTAAGGAGTTTCCTAATGTACTGGAAATTTCTACATTAAATCAGAGCTGGAAGATCTGCTTCCCAACTTGACCCAGGCCTGAGTTTCCTCCTCTGTGGAATGTGAGGAATAGTCTAGAATAATATCCAGGTCCCTGCTAGCTTGACAACACTCTGGGTTTGAAACTGGCAATTTCCCCTCAGAGCAGGAACATTCTAAGATTTTAGGCAAAACACCAGCTGAACACTAAACAATAAGGAGATGTTTGCTTTCTAATGAAACGATTTTCTTGGGAGACAATCATTTCTCTAAATAAACACCTTGCAAATAAATATTTTGGGTCCCCTCAGCTTGATATGTGTGTGATACCCAGAAAAACTCAGTTAGCTGTGGTTTAAAGGAGAAACCAGCATTTGTTTGCCTCAGAGACAGGAAGGCTGCTCAAAGGTGAGCTGGGAAGTGGTCTTTAATGCATCAGTGAGGTTTGTTTAGGGCAGTGTTACTCAAAATGTGGTCCTCGGACCAGCAGCATCACCACAACCTGGGAACCTGTTAGAAATGCAGCATCTCAGATCCACTGACTCAGCATCTCTGGGGTGGAGCCTGAAAAGCCAGTTTGTTTCCCAAGCCCGGTACAGGCAATTCTGATGCACCCCTAGTTCAACTACTCATTTAGGAGAAAGGGATGGCCCAGGGTAGGCTGGGAGTGTCTTTGGAACCAGGTGGACAGCCTGAGTGGAAACTCCAGGAAGGTGTGAGCTGCCGTGCTAATGGGCCCAAGGAGCAGCAGCACCCAGTGGGAGACCAAACGTGGGTTACAACCCAACTTCACCACTCCCTCCCTGTGTGACCTTGGATAAATCACCTAGCATCTGTGACTGTGGACTTCCTCCTCTTCTGTATAAAGGAAAATGGCACTACCTTGCAGGGCAGCTGAAAGGTGGAATGAGGGTGTGTATAAAGCTCCTAGCAGCGGGCCTGGCTCAGCAGATGCTGAGTCCCCG